AAAGTCTTACAATTTTCTTATTTCCCCAGCACTCTCCCATCAGAATCACTCTTGGTAAATGACCTCAACTCCTTCATTTGAGATTATTTAGTCATAAATGAGAATTAAACAGACTCCTTTCCTGTATTTCACAACATTTCTGTCTCTAGGTTTTGCCTTTGCCTTCACTGCTGAGAAAAGAAGCTTCTCCCTAATTCTGCTCTCCTTGTGGTCTTTATTTTTTTTCCAGCTGTGAAATACTTTAAACATATAGAAAAATACAGATGCTAATAAAGCAGACACCTATGTACCTATCTCCTTGACTAAACAAATTTTAGAGTTTGTCAGATTTGCTTTAGATTTTTTTTTAAATGATACAACTTTTGTATTTTTTTGTGTGATATTGTTTGATAATTTTTTTCTCTTTTTAAAATTTTTATTATGTTCAGTTAGCCAACATATAGAGTACATCATTAGTTTTTGATGTAGTGTTCAACAGTTCATTAGTTGCATATAACACGCAGTGCTCATCACCACACGTGCCCTCCTTAATAACCATCACCCGGTTACCCCCACCCCCACCCCGCCTCCCTTCTGTAACTCTCAGCTTGTTTCCCGGAGTCCACAGTCTCTCACGGTTTGTCTCCCTCTCTGATTTCTTCCCATTCAGTTTTCCCTTCCTTCCCCTGTGGTCCTCTGCACTATTCCTTATGTTCCGCATATGAGTGAAACGATATGATAATGACTTTCTCTGCTTGATTTATTTCACTTAGCATAATCCTCTCCAGTTGCACCCATGTGGATGCAAATGGTAGGTATTCATCCTTTCTGATGGCTGAGTATATTCCATTGTATGTATGAACCACATCTTCTTTATCCATTCATCTGTTGAAGGACATCTCGGCTCCTTCCACAGTTTGGCTATTGTGGACATTGCTGCTATGAACATTGGGGTACATGTGCCCCTTCTTTTCACATCTGTGTCTTTGGGATAAATACCTAGTAGTGCAATTGCTGGGTTGTAGGGTAGCTCTATTTTTAATGTCTTGAGGAACCTACAAAACTAAGAGTCAACCCATGGAATGGGAGAAGCTAATTTTTTTCTCTTATACTGTTCTTGTTTGTCCTTATTTTGGAATAAAGGTTATATTAACTTCATAAAGTGAATTGGAAATATTTCTTTATAAACTTATTCTCTGGAATATGTACAAAATGAAGTGGTGGAAGAGTTCCTTAATGGACTGGTAAAACTCATCTTTAGGGCAACTTATAATATATATTCTGTGTGTATGTGGGGTAGGGGAGGTTGCCTGTTTATCAGTTTTTTTTAAATTTTTGCAAATTTAGTCAGGTTTTCTGTTTCAAATTTGAATATAAACTTAAAAATAGTTGGTCTTCAAAGATATTGGATTGAGTCATAGTATTATGCCACTTAAAATCTATTTTTCATTGTATGTTCCTTGTATACTATATCTAGAATTATGTCTCTACCTTTCATTTCTCTATATTTATACCAAGTCTTACCAGAGGTATATCTCTTTCATTAATCTAATACAAAAAAACGAAAACAGTACCCCTTCTTTTGGTGTTGATGGTCTTCATTGTCCTTTCCTATTTCATGAATGTATACTCTTATTTTTGTAATCCTTCTTTCTCAGATTTTCCTGGTTTGTTTATTAACTTCTTGATTTGCACACTAAACCTTGAATTTTCAGTATTTTTTTTCTACTCTGTAATAGATACACTTCATCTTTTAAACCAAGTTGCATTTCACAATTTTGGCATCGTCATTTAGAATCCAAATATTTTCTAATTTCTATAAATTTTTTTTTCTTTAGCTTATGAAATATTTAGAAGTCTGCTTTTGAGTGTCCAAATATATAACGGGTGTTGGAGGATTGGAGAGTTGCTGTGTTTGTGTTACTGCTACGTAATTAGATGAAATTTAATAATGTTCATCAGTATTTGTAGAGACTCACTGCTCAGATTTTTATTTGTTTTATTGTTCCTTGAGTGGTGACAAAACATTGCTTTCTCTAACAGTTCAGTGCAGTGCCCTATGTTAAATTCATTGGTTCAACATTGATTATTGGGTTGTTAAAATTCCCTTATTAAGACAAGTTTTTTGTCTGATGTCTCAGTTTCTGGTAGAAGATATTAAGACTTCCCACTAGCATCATGTAATGGCACTTTCTCTTTTTAGTTCTCGCAGTTCTAAGTTTTTGAATGATATGCTGCTTAAATGGTTGCAGATTTAAGGTCATTATATCTTCTTGGTGAATTATTCCTTTTATGATCTTTCTCACCCCCAACAAGGTTTTCTACCTTTGTTTATGTTGTCTGGTATTAATATTGTTATATTACTTTGTTGTTGTTTTGAGTCTCAGCCTGGTATGTGTTTATTTCATTTTCATCCATTCCTTATGATTTTTAAGTTTGTTTCTTGTAAGCAGCATATAGCTGGATTGTATTGCTTTTTAAATCTAGTATGAAAATTTATTTATTTATATTTATTTTGATTATGTTGGACTTAATTTTTAATTTTTTCCTCCTGCTTTTATGCCTTCCATTTGATTCATTGAGATTTCCTTCCATGCACTTATTTGGGAGTTATCACTCTTTCTTGTTGCTTCTAGTGGTCACCTCTAGAGCTTTCACAAAGTAAAGACTAGTCCAAATCTCTCTCCTTCTCAAATCAGACCAGGGTTTGTAGTACTCTCATTTCAGTCACGCCGTCCCATCTTGCATGCAGTTATTTTCCATTTTATTTCCTCTTTATTTAACTTAGTTCCTTTATTTAACTCTTACTAGTTCTTAGTATTATTTTTCACAGTTAATATTTACTTGGAGATGCTCTGATCTATTAGTCTTTTACTTGACCATGGCTTCCTAAACCCATTTATTTCTTCTTTGATTTAATTTCTTCATTTGTTGAGAACATCCACTAGTGATTACTTTAGCGAGATTCTCTAAAGCATAGAGTTTCCATTTTGGATCCTGAAAATGTTCTTTTTTTTTTTTTTTTTAAGATTTTATTTGTTTGAGAGAGTGCACAAGTTGTGGGAGAGGCAGAGGGAGAGGGAGAGAAAGAATCTCAAGTGGACTCCCTGTTGATAGCAGAGCCTGACTAGGGGCTCGATCCCAGGACCTTGAGATCATTACCTGAGCTGAAATCAAGAGTCAGATGCTTGACTGAGCCACCTCGGTGCCCCGACCCTGAAAATGTTCTTATATTATTGCTGTCATCTAGATTGATGCATATATTCTCTTAACCCTTTGAAGATATTCTACTGCTATCTGTTATTCATTGATAAAATTTCCTATTATCATCTCTTTGGATGTAATCTGTTTTTTTTTTTTTTTTTTTTTTTTTTAAAGATTTTATTTATT